AATCGTGAGGACCAGGAGACACAGTTTGTCTTGACTATGCATTAGTCTGTACTTTTCTACTCTACCCTTAAATTGCTACACTGGAGATAATACTGAGTACCTTGCTATATGCATCAGATGTAACAGTAATATAATAAATTACTGTAAGGATCAAATGAGTAATGGATGTAAAGTACATTGAAAACCTTAAAGCACAATTTAAACATCAGCTATTATTATTAATATAGGTCACTAGTAAATTTTTTATATTCTTCAAGTGTCAGAATTTTTGCTTAATATTATCTTTTTAATGCATTAATTGAGTAGCAATATAGATGCTTTAAAAAAATAAATGAGTTAGTCCATTATCTTTTTGATGCCTTGATAAAGGTGGTTTTTTTCACTGTGAAAACATGAAAACAGCAAAACTTGCATTTCCTTCCTGACCTTATACAATAGAATTCTTTTCCACAGGAATATTTGATTTCTCTTTGTTGTTATACCCTGTCTTTCTTCCAGGAGATAGAAAAAAAAAGATTAAAATCCTCAGTACTCATGTTCTTTTGTTTTCAGGAAAAGTGCTAATTGTTCTTTTTGTAACCCATTCCTCACCCAAGGCACTCATTTTATCTAAAGAAAGTTGATAATTAAGCAGCACTACCATCTTTATTTGTAATATGGACCTAGTATAATGAATTAAACATATTTTGTATTAACATTTCCCTGTTTCTATAAAATTAATGCAAATAGTTAAAGATATATATTTTCTAATAAGTTGATAAAACTATTACTATGTAATAGCACCAATTGTTACCATAGAATGAATTATCATTCTTTCAGTTCTAAATATGTTCTTAAATCAGTAAAACTATAAAGAACTTCCATGGACTCTTTGGTTTTACAGAATTACCTGAAAAATACATTCATAGAAACCAAAAAGGTTTAAATGATTAGTTTAAATTGTATTTTTAGCTAGTCCTTTTTGGGGCCTTCATAGGAGTTCTCTACTATTCCATGGTAGTGATTACTGGATCCTGGGTTCTTATAGTCTTTGCCTGCAAAACAGTAGTTCTGACAAGTCAATCTGTCAATAAACATTTATTAAGCACCCACTTAGATGCCAGGCACCGTGCTCAGTGGTAGAGATTAAAAAGAAAGGCAAAAGACAATCCCTCATCTCAAGCTTACAGTCTGTCCTACACTCATCTCTTATTTGGCCAAGAGGTAATAAAATTTTGGGCCACAGTAACTCTTGAAGTCACAAATAATTTTTTCACCCAGTTTCTCACCCTAGGCATTGTTTTCATCTGAATAAAGCAGATAGAACAGAGAGGAAAAGGATCTATATGCACAAACATATTTCTAACATCTATTTTCACAGTAGCTAAAAACTAGAGAACAGGAGAGTGCTACCTATTGGGGAATGGTATATGAATATAATGGAGTATTATTTTACCATGAGAAATGATGAAACAGAGAGGTTCAGAGGAAATTGGGAAAATATCTATGAACTGATGCAACAGAATTTGGAAAACAGTTTATACAATAATTACAATACAGAAAAACAACTTTAAAAGACTTTAGACTTTTGATCAATTCAATAAACTCTAAGTCTAGAAGACTGAAAATGAAATGTCACCTACCTCCTGTGAAAGAGGTGAGGCACTTAAAGTGTAGAATCAGACATACATTTTTGGACATGGCCAATGTGGAAATTTGTTTCAATGTGCTGTGCTTTGTTTTCTTTTCGTTAAAAAAAAAAGGTTTTTGTGACGTTGGAATGGGGGGAAAAGACAATAAACACTTGTGAAAATAAGTAAATTTTAGAAGAAAAAAGAAATTAAATTGTATTTGATTTGCTTTATCCACTTTACTTATAATGTGAGCCTATTATCTTGAATTAAATTCTTCCATCTCAAGATTTTCTCTATTTTAGAGGCAATATTATGTAGTGGATAGTGAGCTGGCATCAGAGTCAGGAAGACCTGTCTTTGACACCTAATAGCTGCCTGGCCCTGGGCAGGTTACTTAATTCCTCAGTGTCCCTGGCAACTCTCTAGAATTCTAAAGCAAGTTAGTTGCTGACCATCATTGGTAGAGAGAGTTTTATTCACTGGGAGTTCCTTCTACCAATGAAATCACAGAACTAGCTCGAAAAAGCAAATAAACTCTTTCAAATAAATCATCAACTAAAGGGTAGCAGGGCTGTAATCTGCAGCAGTGGTTATAGCACCCAAGAAGATCGAATCACAGATTCTTGCACAGTTCTTTGTGGGTACAGAGGAAAAGAGAAGAGTTCTGACAATTATGCCCCTCTTCTATGCTGGAAATATTATGCTAATATTGATTTAGAGGGAATAATATCTCAAACTTAATCACTGCCATCACTTCCTGTATATCTTTTTTTTAAATGCACTTTATCCATGTCTTTTGTCTTTACATTAAATCTTCTCTTATGACAAAGAAAAATGAGTGAAAACATCTGAAAGTATATTCAATCATATAGTTATCATAGGGCCATACATTTAGAGCTGGAAAGGACCTGAGAGGTCAACAGGTTTCATTTTACAAAAGAGGAAACCAACCCACAGAGAGATTAAGTGATTTGCCCAGAGTCATATAGACAGTACCAGTGTCTCAGCTAAATTGTGAATTTAAAGCTTTCTGTCACAAGACTTTCTGATTCCATATTTGATGCTCTGTACCCTGTTCTTAGCTGTCTCACTATTATTTCTACAAACCTCCTGGTTTAGCAGGGAAGGTGATCTCAGAAGAGCTTAACACAATAGGAAGTAAATCTGTAGATTTAAGTCTCCTTGGGGCAGTAGACTCTTCAAATTCTTATTCATTTAGTGTTGGGGGGGCAGGATTTTTTTCTCAGTGGGACTTTTTTTTTTTGATGGGCTAACAGGTTTTGAATGGATATGCAGAAGGGTTTATCATCACTACAAATATGATACAGAATCTGCCAGTTTTATATTTTGCCTTTTCTAATGCAGTATTTCTGCTCTACTCAATTCTTTATCTTTTATAAGTCTTCACCCTTTGACAATTTGTTACAGAAGCCTTACTTTATGCAGTTCTTTTGCTGACAATATAGAGCTGTTAACAATTTTTTTATGGGAAGAGACTGTACAGAATAACCATGGGTTTCACCTAATTTTAACATTTGCAAGGTTTAAATTTAAAATAGGCTTTTTATTTCAATTACAATTGGATATAGTCACATAGAAGCTACAGAACTGATATTCTTCAACATTCAGCCTTCAATATCTCCCTCACCTCTTATGTAGAAAACACTATTTTAGGTACAGTGGGAAATATAAATATGTTTAAGTCCTATGCCTACCCTCAAGGAGATTAGTAAATAAACAAGTATGCAAGTAACTATTTAAAGAAAAAGAATATAATGTGTCACTAGAGATGGTGGAGAGGCAGGTGGGTGATACAGTGGATAGATTACTGGGCCTGGCATCAGGAACACTCAGCTTCCTGAGTTCAAACCTGGCCTCAGAAACATATTACTTGCATGACCCTGGACAAGTCACTTAACTCTGCCTCCATTTCCTCATCTGTAAAATGAGCTGGAGAAAGAAATGGCAAACCACTCCAGTATCTTTGCCAGAAACAAAAAAGAAAAAAAAAAGCAAAACAAAACAGTGTCATGAAGAGTTGGGCCCAACTGAAAACAACAGAGAGGTTCAAACAAAGTGCAATGGGAACCCAAGGAGGAAGGGATCACATGGTTGATAGAGGTTACAATGACAAACATTTAGTGAAAGAAATAACAGTTGAAATGAGCCTTGAAGCATGGGTAGGATTTCAGAAGATAGAGTTATGAGGTGATAATATTCTAGGTAGAAGGAGAAAACACAACCAAAATCTGGGAGTTAAAAAAAAGGAGTACAGTTTGACTTGAATTTATGCAAGAAATATGAAAGGTTGGGAGAAGTAATCTAGACTCAAAATATAGCAGGCCTTGAATTCCAGGAAAAGGAGTTTAAAATTTATTTTGAATACAATGGGGAGTCATGAATGGGTTTGGGGGCAGGACAGTTATATGATCCAAATTCAGTTTTAGGAAGATTAATCTGGTACTGGTGTTGTTGTTGTTCAGTCATTTTCAGTTATGTCCAACTCTTCATGACCCCGTTTGGGGTTTTCTTGGCAAAGATGCTGGAGTGATTTGCCATTCCTTCTCCAGCTTATTTTGCAGATGAGGAAACCAAAGCAAAGAAGGTTAAGTGACATGCCCAGGGTCACATACCTAGTAAGTGTCTGAGGCCAGATTTGAACTCAAGAAAATGAGTTTTCCTAACTGCAGGTCTGGCACCTAACTGCCTGGGAGAACCTGAATAGTAAACTACAATGAAAGGCAACTGAGGATAAAATTATTGGAGAATGACCTGGTCAGCAGTTTCAGGTAATGCAGAAAAGTCAAGAAGCATAGGGATGAAAAAAAGCTCCTCAGATTTGGTGCCTAGAGGCTATGGGTGACCATCATAGAATATATTCAGTAAAATGATAGGGATAGGAACTGGAATGCAAATAGGGAAGAAATGAGTGGGAAATAAGGGATGTGAAGCACTTCGTCTTTTTTGGTGGACAGTTCTCTTCACTCCCTTTATTTTTTCCTCCTTTCTTTTCTTTATAACTATTTTTTTTCTTTCTTCTTTCTGCCATTCCTTTCCCCAAACCACAGAGGAGTACAGATTAACTTGAATAACATTTTTCTCTGTAATGATGTTCTAAGAAATGTTGCTTAATTTCTCCCCATCCTTACTTCTTTCTGTGTCTAGGCTAGTGCCATTCATGAGTTTCTGCTTATGGGTTTGGTTTCTTTTTAATTTATTCTATGTCCCTCAGATAAAGTAAGAGCTTCTAGAAGAAAAAAATCTAGCTCTTTCCTCTGTCCAGTTTATCTATTAGTACAGTTGCTGATTTTACCTCTTCCAACCGTCATCGTCATCGTCATCATTGTCGTCGTTGTCGTCTTCTTCTTCTTCTTCTTCTTCTTCTTCTTCTTCTTCTTCTCTTCTCCTTCTCTCTCTCTCTCTCTTTCTCTCTGGTTGGTTTGTTTTTTGAAGCAACTTCTGAGGGGCTATACTTCTAGAAATATTGATTTATGAAGAAGAAAGTGAGGTGTAATGGAAATTCATGGTATAATAAGATCATTGATTTAGAGATGGATGGGATTCCAGAGGATGTAGATTTCAACTCCATCATTTTACAGATGAAGAAAATGAGGCCCAGATAACTAAAGTGAATCGCCAGAGGTGACAAAGGTTGCACATAACTAATAAAGCCAGACTTTGAACCTCAGTCCTCTGTATCCCACTGTCATTTGAGTTCAGTCCTTTTCCATGTCCTTACCTTTGTTATCTGACTATCCAAAGACCAGTGCATCCATGACCTAAATCTCTCTCTTCCCAGAGCCTAAATCCCAATCTGTACTAGATGTCCTATGGGGCTAGAAATCTTAAATGAGATAAAGACCAGAAATCTGGCATGAGCTGTAGCCTTAAAAAAAATAGAATCTTTGGTCAAGGTTGCCCTGAAGTATCTATTCTCCAACATTTGTAACTCATTGTAGGACACACCTCCCAATTGAATCCCCATACCTCTTTGGAAATTGCCTTCAGGGTTCTCCAAGCATTTCTCTTCAATCTGGCCAAGCTTACTAACCATGAGTGTACCCCAAGATTTTATCCTTGGCCTTTTTCTCCTTTTCCTCAATACTATTTTGGTTCATCAGCCCCCCAAGGATTCAATTTTAACATCTATTCAAATAAGTCTCAATCTACTTATTCATCCCTAACCTTTCTCCTGACCTCTGGTCTCATATTTCCAATGGCTTATTAGACATACTGAATTGATGTCCAATAAAAATCTTAAACTTGAATTCCAGAATTGAACTCACCCCACCAAAAAAAAAAAAGACTTCTATCTTCCTAACTTCCATTTTACACTGAGAGTACCACCATCCTCGAAGTCAACCAGTCAAACTATGTGTCATCCTCTACTTTTCATTAACTCCCCTCCCTCATATCTAATCACTTACCAAATCCTGTCAGTTCTATCCTTATTACACCCAAATCACTTAATGGGTGTTGCCTCAGTCAAAGTGAGAACTCCAAAAGACCTTAGCTTAAAAAGGCCCAGGTCTCCCACTGCATCCTGGGCCATCTCCAGTTGTCCTAATCTATACCTGGCCACTGGACCCAGATGGCCCCAGAGGAGAATGTAAGGCTGGTGACTTTGCACAGCCCTCCCTCACTTAAATCCAATTCACTTGCAAGTCATGGCAGCATCTTCCTGATGTCATGGCTTTCTTCAAGAACAAAGGACAAACCACTTCTGTCCTCTGACACTGCCACCACTCTGGTGTGAATCCTCATCACCTCACATCTAGACTATTGTAATAGTCTTCTGGTAGGTCTCCCTGCTTTAAGTCTCTCTTTATGCTAGTCCATCTTCTTCACAGCTGTCAAATTAATCTTCTAAAAATGCAGGTCCTGTCACATCACTCCTTTAACTCCAGTGGCTCCCTATTACCTCTAGAATCAAATATAAAATCTTCTGGCTTTTAAAGTCCTTCATAATCTGCCCCTTTCCTACAATTCCAGTCTTCTTATACCTTACTCCCCTCTACATGCCTTGCAATCCAGTCACATTGGCCTTGTTGCTGTTCCTTGAATATAGCATTCATCTCCTGACACCAAACACTTTCACTGACTGTAGCTTATGCCGGGAATTCTCTCCCTGCTCATCTTCATCTTCTGACTTCTTTGGCTTCCTTCAGCTCTCTCCTAAAATCCCACCTTCTGTAAGATGTCTTTTCCTAAATCCCTCTTAATTCTATTGCCTCCCCTCTATTGATTAGCTCTAATTTTTCCTGTATATAATCTTGTTTGTACAGAGCTATTTGCATATCGTCTACCCTATTAAAATGTGAGAGCTGAGACTGGGTTTCTTTTTTGTTTTTTTTTTGTCTTTCTTTGTATCCCGTTTTTTTTAGCAGAGTGCCTGGAACATAATGGGTACTTACTTAAATATCTGTTGACTTTATTTCACTCCGTGGGAAGAATCCCTGCTACTCCACTCCAAGACTTTTGCCTCCAAATTCTCTTTTCCTTTTCTTATTCAGGCCTCCACATGGGGTATGAAACAACAACAACAACAACAACAATAAAAACCCTACATCTTCCTCTCTTCTTGACTCCAGGTCAAACAAGCTTCAGTCTGTAGTTCCTAACTTTTCTTCCCATATTTGTAACCCAAGTAATTTCAAATTGTATTCCCACCTACACATTCCTCATTAAAAGAAAAAAATTGATTCATTTTTGAGGGAACAATAGGTTTCAGTTCACAAAATATTGATTTAATTCTTCCTCCTTCGTTCTCCTTTTAACCCTCTTACATATTGTGTCCCTTACATTATTTTGCTCCTGGATATTTTCCTTTTTCTTGTTAGTCTTCAACCAATATGAGAATTTTTTTAAGTTATCTTGCCCCAGATCAATGGGAACATTGATTTATTTCATTGCTAAGCTTTTTCTTTCTTTTTAATAAGAAATGCACCAAATAAAGTAATAAAGTTTACAAGAAAAGAAAGAAGCACTCCCTCACAGTTAATTTCTACTTAAAAAAGTAATCACAAGGGTACATTGCTAGCTTAATCCTTATAGGTACACCATGTGGGCCCTGACCATCTCTCCAGGCCCACATTTGGAGCTTTGACTGCAAAGGTTTCTGTTTTGTCTCCATTTAAGTGTCCCTTTATAGTGAACTTGTCCCTCACCTTCCCCCAATTAATGCATAGGGAACATTGAATCTGCCTGCTCTCACTAATGAAGGAAGCAGACCAATGTGACTGGGGAAGAAATCCAGGAGAATAGAACCCATTAAAAAGCCATCTTCTGCCAAGTTCTTCTATGAGAAAGCCAAGGCAAGGGAGAGTGGGTATAAATTCAGCTTCAACCATTTCCCTTTGGAGTTTTCATGTGGCAAAGATTCAAATGGACCAACATGGTATAGTGGAAAGAGGAATTAGATTTATTCTACTCAGATCTAGAAAACTAAGATCAGGGGGTAAAAAATTATGAAGAGAAAGATACAAATTTGACATAAGGGCAAGTTTTCTAATAATTAGAACTATACAAAAGAAGAAAAAGCTACCTTGAGGTATCATGAACTCTTCACTGGAAGTATACAAGCAGAGGATGGATGTCTAATTGTTGGGTATGAGTTAGACTATATGTGTCCTGATGTCGCTTCCAATTCTTAGATACTATGATTTAATGAGATTCTGGTTATCTGATTTAAAGATCATCCAGTTTTTCCTCTCCCTTCTTCATGTTTACCACCACTTTATGAGATTTCACTGATTAGCAACATAATTGCAAGGTATGAGGTATTTCATAAATCATTAAAAATTTATCTTGAAAACCTGGACTTACATGAGCTGATGCTTAGTGAAGTGAGCAGAACCAGAAGAACATTGTACACAGTAATAGCAACATCGTGTGATGTTGTAGCAATGACAGACTTTAGCTCTTCTCAGCAATACAATGACTCAAGACAATTCCAAAAGACTAATGATGGAAAATGCTCTATAGAGAAAGAACTATGGAGCCTGAATACCATTGAAGCATACTATTTTCACTTTTTTTGTTTTTCATGGTTTTTCCCTTTTGTTATGTTTCTTCTTTCACAACATGATTAATGTAGAAATATGTTTAACGTGATTGTACATGTATAATCTATAAACTATATCAGATTACTTGCCATCTTCTGGAGGAAGGGAGAAAAATTTGAAACTCAAAATCTAAAAATGAATGTTGAAAACTATCTTTACATGTAATTGGAAAAAATGAAATACTATACACAAAAAAAAACTATTTATCTTGAACTCTCTATAATTTGCCATGGTCTTAGTTTCCTGGCTAATAAAAAAATTTTAATTTTAAGCATGAATTAATAATTATCAGAAAATTATAGTATAATAAAATATTGTAAATATTAAACAATCTGTATTTTATCCACAAAACAAATAAGAATCATTCATTATCTTATAATGGCTTAGAAAAAAGGCAGTGCTATTGCAATCAGCATATTATTAACCAAATATTAAAATTTTCACTGAAGAAATGATCAACTTTACAGAAAACAGTAATGTATAATGCTTCTATCCAATGTATTGATTATAAACCAAATTACTAAAATCCCTCACATATGTTTGTTTTCTATTTTTCACAACCAAGATAGTAAAATTATCTCTAAGATTTCTTTACTTTTCTCATTTTAAGCATTTCAGTTTTTAATATCCGGAAGCATTTCTGAAGTCCCCAGTAGTATCTAGAAGTAATTCTAAGGATAGTGGATATGGAGAGTGAAAAGCCCCTCAAGTGCTATTCTCCCACTCTTGTTGGCTTTATAACAAAACACTCCTATTAGCATGTACAGATGGGAAAAAGCCTCCTGGTCTGTAGTTAGAAGTAGTTATCTAGAAATAACACGTTAGAAACTCAGGAATAATATCTAAAATATTCATGAAAGTACTTTGTCTTGCATTGTTGGAGATTTCCTAATGAATATGCACTTTTTATAAATTATTTTAATTTACACAAAATGATGCTACTATCCTCATTTGGGTAAACTGAGGCAAAGATTAACTAATTTGCCATGGATCATGCAGCTAGTAAATGTCTGAGAAAAGATTGGAACCAAGTCTTTTCTGACTCCAATGTCAGGGCTCTGTTTTTGTTTAACACTTCAATTTTTTTTTTCCTGCTAGTGATGGATATTTTTTTTCACATATTTCTAAAGTAAAAATATGTATTTGTCTATTGTTCATAAAATTGTATCCATTGTCTATACTATACAAGTTTTGTTTTTGCTAATTTAGTACCTTATAATAGAATTATCTTCAATTTTTAAAGTGATTTCAAATCAAAGAATCTGTTCTAGTTATGTGCATTTTAGCATTTTGCATTTATATGACATACAAATTCTATGTCCACAGAATTATTTAGGGGAAAGAGAAATACATTATTCTTAACAATGTACTATTATTAGCATTATGCTAAGGTAGTATAATAAAGTTCATTAGCATAATGGTAACAGCATTATGCTAATAATGTGGCATTATCAGATACATGTAGCATTATGTTAATAAGCTTAATATTCCATAAGATACTCAGTAAATATAAGAAAAGTTAGTTTTCTCTTAAATCCTTATATTTTCACAGATTGTCAGTGTTGGAAAACATGTTAAAGGATACCATTATATCATTGCAAACCTGGTAAGTACTCTCTACTACTTTTTGCAAAAGTTGACAAATCAGATTTTTTTTAAAAAATTGTTTTAGCCATGCCTGAAAATATTGCTTAAGAAAATATTTTTTATGTAGAAATTCTTATGCATAAGGAATAATTGGTATTTTATTAGGAATGTTGTTGTAACAGTAATAATGTTTTGAATAGGGAAAAAATGTGTGCATATATTTGCTTGAAATGTGTCATGATGAAATTTAAGAATAATGATCATAGTATTCATTTCATTAAGGATATCAGTTGTCAAAATAACTAATGGCCTTCTTTCTAAATAGTAGCTCATGGCTTTCAATTATGATTTATGAAATTTTAAGGGTATGTTAGGAATCCAAAATAGTCCTGAAAATGTAGGATAAAGGGGAAAACAACATTTTATAGTTTCAGGCCCCATTACCCTTGAAGGGAGAACTTTATGTAGGACTACTGAAAACAAAATTTGTAAGAAATTGCATAATGTTCAATTAAAACATATAAGTATTTGCTCAATGTGTAAATAAGTAAAGATATTACTTATTCTGAAATCTCCCATTGTCTGTCTAAAGTTATTTGCAATATACTTAGAAGATTTTGAAATTTTTTTCTCGTTAAATTTCCATCATAAGAAAATGTAGCATACAACAGATAACAGATTTACATTTAAAATGACGTATAGTTAAATTTTCTAAATTAGTTTAAGCTAAACAGATCTGGTCTTACCTTCTCTTTGTTACTTCTCCCTCCCCAGATACTCGGTCAGAAGTGTCTTGAGAGTAGATATTGTTTCATTCTTTATATTTGTTTCAGCTTGATTTCTAGTATATAATAGATGTTTAATAAATACCTGTTGATTAATTAATCCCCCAAAGGGATGGTGAACCTTTGCGTATAGACATGAAACAGATAATTTGATCAACTATGTAAGGTTAATAATGATATTAGAGACAGAGGCAGAATTGTACAGTGGATGGAATACTGGAATAGGAGTCAGGAAAAGCTTAGTACAAATCACACCTCTGACTGTGTGACTATGGGCAAGTAATTCCTCCTCATTAAGCCTTAGTTTGATCTGTATATAAGGGTAGGCAAATCACTCAAATAAATAAAACAATCTCTCCATTCTACTAAGATAACTATATACCAATGATATACGAATGATAACTAATAAAATAATCAATAAGATGCTACATCTGTAATACCTTAACTGGGTGAGAACATCTTTATTGAATCAATCAGGCAAAGGTGTTGGACTGGATCTGAAAAGACTCTTGATCAATTTAGAAGTCTTTGAAAGCCATTTGATGAATCACAGTGTCTTTATACAGGTTTTGCTGCTGTTCAGTCACGTCAGTCATGTCCAACTTTTTGTGACCCTATTTGGGGTTTTCTTAGCAGAGAGACTGGAATGGTTTTCTATTTCCTTCTCCAGCTCATTTTACAGATGAGGAGACTGAGGAAAACAAGGTTAAGTGACCTGCCCAGGGTCACACAACTAGTAAGTGTCTGAGTTCAGATTTGAACTCAGGTCTTGTCAATTGCAGGTCCTAAGCTCTATCCACTGAGGCACTTAGTTGCCCTTTTCACAGGTAATATATTCCAATAGATTGAGGAGAATTAGTCAAACCCTTTGAGGATTGTTTCAAACAGCAAGCTAGTTTAGATGTGAGCATTTAAATATCTGCAGCTCAGTGATAGATGCCTTCCACTGAAGCCTTTGAAAAGAAATTACTTGGGCATGAGGAGAATACTTTGGCCTCTTCCTCCACACTATTTGGCCAGGGGGTGACCTTGTAAACTTCAGAGCACTGGAATACTTTCATTAGCAACCTAGCAGTATTTTGCGATCTGCTATGACTGGCAACAAGGTCTGAATGATATGTGAGGAAAAACTAGACATATTGAAGAAAGAAAGAGTGAAGAGTCCATAAGAATCCCAGCAGAAAAGCTGCACCATGGTTCAGGGGAACTTCTTAAGTAACCCACAAAGAGGAGAAAATGTCTTCCAGAAACTAAGAGCTGTGTTCTCTAAACTTGATCGCCCTCTTCCCTGGACTATCTATGTACCTTTGGGAGAACATGTTTTAGACTAGAGGGGTGGGGAAGGGTGTTGAACCAAAACTGTAATTATTATACCACTTTAGCAAATACTCCTTTCTAAAAGCTAATTAAGTCTAGCTGGCTAATTGACATCAAATGATAATCATGAGGAAGAGTACACTAGGAGATAACCATAAGCTTTAATACTAAAAAACAACAGAACAACAAATAACTCCTCAGAGTGCTCTAGAACCCTGAGAGGACAAGTAGCCAGTACAAGTAGATGTTGAGCTAATTATTGCTAAAACACAGTACTACATTTAAAATAGGGATAATGGTGCCTTTAGTACCTACTTCACAGAGCTGTCCTAAGAGTCAAATAAGCTAATATAAAGAGCTAGGTAAATTCTCAGTTCCAAGTACCTCTCATTTCCAAAAAAATTTAGATAGATAGTTCTCACCTTATATAAATTTGCATTATACAAATTCATCTTTACATAAAGAATTACGAAAAAATCCACATTCTAAAAAAAACCCTATGCTAACTTTACTGTACAGTATTTTATTGTACTCTTTCTACTCCTGCCCCTCAGCTGGGTGTTTTTCACCTTCTGACCCACTCCCACCAACAAACAAAAACCCTAAAAATGAAAACCCTCCAAGTGAGAGAAGGACAAATGCGAGAGACCACTACCACTGTCCTAGCTGGCCCAGATTAAGGACTTGGTTTGAGACCTCTAGCTGAGACAGAATAGACCTTTGCCCTACTCCACCAACCTGCCCATATCTGTCTTTCATCAGTCTGCAAGGGGACACCACTCGTCTGTCCCAGCTCCTATGTGTCACCCTTCCTTTCCTGTCTTGTCCAACTTGGCCCCAGCCCTGCATGTTTTTCTCCTCCTGCTCTTGCTTCTCTGTCTACAGCCTCCACCTGTCCTCGAACCATATACTGGTCCCCTTCCTCCATAGTCGCCTGACCCCCTTCCTGCTTACCTTCCTTCCTCCCTCCCTCCCTCCCTTCCTTCCCCATGTCCACAAGCAAATTCACATTATATAAAAATTGCTTCACATAAGTGGTCCACTTATGTGAAGCAAGAACTGTACAACCCATGGATCTGTGATGTCATAGACTTGGGTAAGTCCTCCAATGATCTAGAAAGCAACTCTTCTATGCTTGCCTATCCACCATGACTCATCAATGTCTACCCATAATTTCAGTGCAGGACTTCTTCCTGCACTGAACATGCTTTGGGCCTCCATTTTTTTTTCCTTTTGTTATTTTCTTGATTCCAATGCAGTATACAGGTTCCCATTGTCTAGCTCCTAGAAAACTAGATTTCTTAATTCTTCTACTTGCAAACTAACATCTAACCTAAGTAACAGAAGAAATTTGTGTTTGTTGTTTATTCATTTCAGTCATGTCCTACTCTTTGTGACTCCATTTGGGATTTTCTTGACAGAGATACTGGAATGGTTTGCCATTTCCTTGTGCAGCTCATTTCACAGATGAGGAAACTGAAGCAAACAGGGATTAGTGACTTGCCCACACACTTGTCACACAGCTAGTAAATGTCTGAGGCCAGATTTCAACTCAGATCTTCTTGACTCCAGACACAGCTCTATCCACTGAGCCACCTAGCTGCCCCTATCATGGGAGATATAATACTTTGTTTTTCTATATCTAAGTTTTTTGGCATCTTTGTAACCCATGGAATTCTCACAAACAGACATACAAAAAACAAAAGTATTATTTATTTCATCACTTTTCCTATTTGTTAGTATGTTGCTAAGAATTAAGGAGTAAAATTTTACAGAGGCTGGAGTAAGAGACCAAATTTCCAACTTTTCAAAGGCATTTTATCACTCTACAGCAATAAACACTACCAATCATTTCCCTAACCATAAAATGTGTAAGAGTTTCCTGGCCTCTCGTAAAACAAGCATAAGCTAGGGGCAGCTAGATGGCACAGTGGTTGGAGCACTGGCCCTCGAGTCAGGAGGACCTGAATCTCAAATCTGGCCTCAGATGTATAATGCTCATTAGCTGTGTGACTCTAGGCAAGTCACTTAACCCCAATTGCCTCATTAAAAAAAATAAACAAAACAAAAACAAGCACAAGTTAGGAATAAGCTAGGATCATACATAAAATTGTTTTCTGTAAATATTAGGTAATTTCTCCATTTTATTCTGTAAGATGGAATTCTCTTTGGGCAACCATGTCCTCACTATCAGTATTTCCAAGTTAAAAGATAGTACAATCACTGAAGTAAGACTCAAGAGATCTAAGTTAGGGGTCAGCTAGGTTGTACAGTGGGTAGAGCACCAGCCCTGGAGTCAGGAAGACCTGAGTTCAAATGTGGCCTCAGACACATAACACTTACTAGCTGTGTGACCCTTGGCAAGTCATTTAACCCCATTGCCTAGACCAAATAAATAAATAAGAGATCTAGATTAGATTTTAACTTGGTCACTTACTTTCTCAGTAATAGCATCTCCATATTCAGTTAACTCATCTACAAAATGGGAATAACAATATCTGTTGTTTTGGGGTTTTTTTTTAACCACCTAACTTACTTGTTATATTATGAGGAATAGTGAAATGATACATGTGAAGTTCTTTGTGATGCTTGGAAAAAAAAATTAAAGCCAAACACAGCTAGTAATGGTCTGAGGCCAGATTTGAACTCAGGTCTTCCTGACTCCAGGTCCAGAGCTCTATCCACCATCTAGCTGCCCTCTAATAGCTCATACCTAAGGGTGCTTTACTGAGAGAAAACCCTTCAAAGAGATGTTAAGGGGACAAAAACATAAATAAAACTACCCTTCTCCATCAATCCTATCCTGACTTCTCTAGGTTATCTGTATCAGTTCTCCTTTTATTTAAGATTTACCTAACACATGAACCCGGATTAGGGAAATACAAGAGAGATAATACATGAATCAGAGCAGCAAGGTAGGACAATGGATAGAATGCCAGGCTTGGAGTCAGGAAGACCTGAGTTTAAATCTAGCCTCAGACTCTTACCAGCTGTGTGACCCTGGACAAACCACTTAACCTATTTGCTTCAGTTTCCTCATCTGTAAAATGAGCTGAATAAAGAAATGGCAAACAACTCAAGTATCTTTGCCAGGAAAACCCCAAATGGGGTCACAAAAAGTCAGGTACAATTAAACAACAACAAATGTCTGAATCAGATTATGTAGACAGCACTATAGTTATCAGGATCTTAGGGGTCCTATAATTCATAGTGTAGTCTCTTTCCCAAAATAGGCAGAAGATACTGCCCTTTCACATAATAATAACTAACATAAATGTTTATCAAATTCATAACAATACAAAAGAAAATTTCAAAAATGATATATTTATAACTTTAAATTTTGCAAAGTATTTAACATAAATTATATAATTCAAGCTTTATAACAATCCAATGAGATAGAGATTATTATTATTATTATTATTATTATTATACCCATTTTACAGATGACAAAATTGGTGCCTAGAGATATGAAGTGATTTGCTTAGGATCACACAACTAACTAGTAAGGGTCAGGCCTTCTTAACTCCAAAATTAGATATTCCATACAAGCTCAGGATATAAGGAAATCTGTTCTTGGAGATCTTGGACTCTGCATCTTAGGCTGTCTCCTTTAGATTTTAGGGGAGGTGATTGTTTAGGTAGTCGCAGTTATACAAGCCCCTACTCTTTCTATACCCTAGAATATGTTTTTGTGCCCTTATCATCTCTTTAAAGATTTTCTCTCAATAAATTGTCCTTATGTATGAGCTCTTAGAGGGCAGGCAGGTGGTGCATTGGATAAAGCTCTGGACCTGGAGGTCCAACAGCTACTATATGGGGCCAAACTATAATAGATGACATTTGAATCAAAAGCCTTTCAAAGCTCCGAAGCTTTGGCCATTTAGTCTTGGCCAGATATTAACAGCTTTTGTATTTATAAATTTTCAATCACATCCCACCCAGTCATCCACTCTCAGCATTTTGCCATTACATTGCTACTTCCCCTTTTTTCCCCACTTAGAAATAAGACCTTACAGATGAGACCTCCAGACAACATTCTTCTTCCCCACTTCCTGAAGGAGTTAATCCACTCATTTTTGGAACTCTGCCCTCAGACTGAGCTTTCTTGATTGATGAGTAAAATGAGTGAGTAAACACTCACTTAACTCACTTTATCAGGCTTGCCCCACAGCAGACCATGTTTCATATCCCATCCACCCATCTACCCTAGGCCCTTGCCATCTGCCTTCTATGAATAAATGCCATTCTCCCCCTCCCCAGCCTCAGACACACATACAAACACTTTATACTTCTTGTTCAGGGAACAGTAATCAATACTACTGTAGAAGGGAGTTGACTAGGAACCCTGATCAATCCAGTCCACACACACACACACACACACACACACACACACACACACACACACACACACACACACACACCCCAACACTGTTCATCAAATTGTAGAATGTTAAGGGCAGGTAACAAGAGACTGAAATGACAGGATTGGGTCCTTTCAGATTCTGAAGTGGTCCATTTGCACTCTGCAAACCATTTGCCACTTTGCCATTGTGGCCAGTGTATGGAAGTGTTTATATTTCTTTTCTCCTTTAGAGAATGTGAGAAGTTCCTTAATTAACTGGAGAGGGAGATAAGATTCTGTGATATGCTTCAACAGCCAAAATTCTGACTACCAAAGCTTAAGCTCTACTTTTACAGAGATCTGGGATTCTGATAAGCATAAGTAAATCTCAGTCAGACTTCTTGTACATGCTAATAAACCAGGGTTGTGGAAACCAGACATAGTAAGTCAGAAAAAGGAGGTTTGCAAATGTCAGTCTTTGGAAAGGGAAGAATGAAGAAAGAAAGCCACCAAAGAATCTAGTGTCTAGGGAAGAGGCAAATGGGAAGAAGGAATAATTATTTCTTAACAAGGAATCAACTGACCTCAAGTTATAGATTGAGTAAGACATGACAACTCTTAGATGTATCTGAATGTGTTTTTTCTTAACAAAAAAAAAATCCATTGTTCATAGCTGTGGAAGATACATGTGCCATCTGCCCAGAGAACAGTTACAGGGGAAAAAATGTAATGCAAGTCAATAAGATACAGGAAAATCTGAAGTTTGAGAGGTTGAGGAGATAAATTCCTCTGTCCTTTTCAAAAAGCTGGAGGAATAGGAAAATAGTGTCTTTGAACTTGTGGAAATTGGACTAAATTTTTTGTTTTTTTTTTTCTTAATTTCCTTTGTTTTTGAGAACAAGCTAGGTGGAACAATTTTAATCTGATATCTCCTTATTAGAAACAGACTGCTACAAATAAAAGCATGGCCCTTATAAGTGGACTATTTTTATAACGTGCTTAATATCTTTATGATATTAAGAACCTGAGTGAGGGGGAAAGACTCAAAATAGGCATCAGGGCTGACTTGAATTGTTCTCTAGGGATGAGCTGAAGAGCATTAAAATAGAAAGTCTTGACTATAGGATGCTGCATTTCAAAAAAGATATAAAGCTATATGCCATTGTGTAATGGAGAGCTATTTTAGTTTTAAGGGTTAAAAATAAGGGAATTGCTAGAAAATCTGTCTTAATTTTCTCTTGTTCTACCCCATCCTGCCTCTAGACAAATGTAAGCATATTGAGATCCATATTTTCTAACCTTCTACTGCAGTTGTCTCCAGTGTATTCTTTGACAATTATAGTGCCCCTTGTACTCTTCTCTTATTTTTACATATGTTTATCCAGAACTATAACTAGCAATTTTTGATCCCAAGATAGGTGGCATAACATATGTCCTCAAGGAAAAATCATTTGAGAGGGAGGCACACCTCTCTATTCCTTTCAATACCTTTCTGGGCCTGCCCACACCAGTCTCTAGTACCTAGAGGTTGCTACTACGGAGGTCCAACAATATCAGTCCCTTGCTCAGGGAACTCCAGTAACCTCCTTTTGAGTTCGGAATCAGACATAAATGTCCTCTATGTGCCATTTAAAGCTCTTCATAACCTCCATGAAATCTCCAGTCTTCTTACACTTACCTCCCCCGACATGCACACTTCAATCCAGCTACATTGGCCTTCTTACATTTTCTCTAACATGGTATTCCAATTCCTTAGAGCTGTTGCATTGGCTGTCCTCTGTGCCTGAAATACTCTGGCTCCTCATCTCTGCCTCACCATGTTTGGCTTCCTTCAAGATTTAGCTCAAATTCCACCTTTTATAGGAAGCTTTTCACTCAACTGCTAATGCCTTCCTTTTCAGATGACCTTCTCTATATATATGGTGTACAAACCTAGTTATTTACTTATTCTCTTCCCATTAAAAATATGACCTCCTTGAGAACAGGGATTGTTTATTATTGTTGTTTGCTTGTTTACTTTCTTTGTATCCCCAGCACTTAACGTAGAGCCCACCACACAGCAAAGATTTAATACATTTGTTAACTTACTGACTCACTAGAGCATCCTTGAAAGGAAAATGGAAGGAGGGTACAGCCAGGCGAGGTACCTGAATTGTGCTTGTCAGAAAGAGGACACAATTCTTCTACTAGCTTTTTATATTAACTAATTATTTGTGCTAGCCAGGTGCTAAGTTCAATTGTTTTCACCTGTGGAGAACCACAAAGTGCTATCAGTAGGTAGCTCTTTAAATTTTAGCATTCTAGACAAAATCCTATTTATCCTGCTTTCCTTTTTCTTTTATTGTCTCTTCTAATAAGAAAGTAAGCTCTTCAGAGAGTAGACAATGTCACATTCTCCTATTCCATTCTCAGTAGCCTTTGCCACTTAAAAAGCACTTAGCAAATAGTTTGAGATGAAGTGAATTGAATTCAGAATCTTTATAATCTTGCATTTGAATCTATATGACAATTTCCTTAGGATGAGTTGGATTAGATTTTTCATCCTTATTTTCACCACTGCTTGCATTAAACATCTTCTTAGATATCAACACTGAATGCTAATTTATTTTAAAGCTAACAGACATGAAACTTAGAACTTTGTCAAATGTATTTTTTTAGGGATTCAAGGATATTTCTCTGGAGAGGTTTATGCATGGAGGAGCCAATGTGACAGGATTCCAGTTAGTGGATTTTAATACACCTATGGTGACCAAGCTCATGCAGCGCTGGAAAAAACTAGATCAAAGAGAGTACCCAGGATCAGAAACACCTCCTAAGGTATGAACTTTCAGTGTTTATACTGTTAAAAACTTTCTGTTTATGACAAAGATAACTGAATACAATTGTACTCGTAACACTTCAAATATCCTTTGTTTTTCTGGTAACTTCATGCACTGAAGATAAATGATATTTTGCTACCTAAACAGCACTATATAGTACTCTGACTGCTAAATTTAATTTCTATCAGAAATTTGACTCAGGCTTCCTGAAGGTCAAGAGACCCGAGTTCTCATACTGGTTCTGTCATTTCACCTCTCTAGGCATCACTTTCCTTATCTATAAAATGAGAGTAGATAATAGTGTCAATAATCAAAATTGCTTATTTTATAGAGTTTTTTAAGGCTTACAAAACACTTTACATGTATTATTGCATTTGATCCATACAACAGCTCTATGATGGATGTGACATAGGTATTATTATCCCAAAGAAAAATTAAGTTCTTTGCTATGGACTTAACCGATGGTTTCTGAGCTGTGATTATCCCTGGGCACCTCATTCCTCTTGGCTTGAATCACTTTAATACTCAATAGTTTATCATCAAAATTATTTGCTATGAAAATAAATACTTCTTTTTACTGATCTAAGTTACATAGTTGGGTATGATTTGTGCTCTTCAAGTTGTTTTCAGTTAAATAATTTCAGTACTAAAAATCTTCAATGAATTTCCTCTTCTCAAAAAAATCATCCTCTCATTGTGCAATTTATTTACAAGTAACAGAAAATTGAGAAGTCAATAGAAACATAAGATATACAAAGAATCTATCATGCCTCAGTTTAAGTATCTAATTCACAGGAACAATTTGGGCCCTTTATTTTCAAGACATATCACTCAGATTTGATACTAGTTTGTATCCAGTGGGTTGAAGAATTGCCAATCATTAGCATTAATTCTTTTATGAAAAATATTATGGAACAATTAAGATTCTCTAGAAAAGAGATAACCTGGGAAGACACAACAGTTGTCTTCAAATATTAGAAGTGTGGCCTTGTGAAATAGTTATCTGGCTTGTTATCTGTAAGTCGAGAGGGCAAATCTTGTACCAATGGGGAAAAAGTTACAAGGAAGGAAGTTTTTACTCTGCTGAAGTGTAGCACCTAGGCCCAGGGTCCCCAAACTCTGTGATTATGTAGATCAGTTCCAATCTCAGGGACAGACAGCAAATTTCACTCTGACTCATTATTCAACCACCCAGAAATTTAGTCTGGGAATATTTCCAAATATACGTCATAACTAGGTCTCTGAATATGTAAGTAAGAATCTTCTCTTTCCTACCCCATCCCCAGATACTATAAGCACTAAAAGTAACAATATATTTTTCTGACACAGGATAAATTTTATGTAAACACACACACACAAGGGTCCATAAGAGTCAATAAACAAATGCAGAAAAAATTTTACAGAATCAAAATAACCCATAAGCAATTGATAATCACCTCAAACCCTCCAAAATGGCAAAAAAAAAATTATTAAAATCAATGAAATTCAGTGTTGATGAGCTTGTGGAAAAATAGGGCCCTTCATTCAAGGCTGGTTGAATTGCAAATCTGTGGGAAATTGGGAGCGATCTGATAATACACAGTAAAATTGCAAAAAAAAATCATAATTTTGACTCAGTACTGCTGCTGATGGTGAGATTACTTTAGAAAAAAGGACAAAAAAGCTCTAGATATTCAAAATTTTTTATAAAAATATTGTATTAAATTGCAAAAAACTGAAAGCAACCTACATGCCCCCAAATAGAGAGAGATAATTAAATAAATTATGATATATCAATGAAACCATATAATGAAATGCAATTAAAGACCAAAAAGTATGAGGAATACAAAAATATCTGATAAAGTCCTTTCAAAATAATATAACTTTAAAAACCAAAGAATGGAGCATCCACTGAGTATGTTTGTATAAGGAAAAGTGAATAAGAATGAATAGACAAGCAAACCAGATGATAATTAACATGGAGTGACTAAAAAAAAAATGGTACTCTATGTATCAAAATTAGTAATTAAATAGCTACTAATGTTAATTATATTTATGTTTGAGGTTAGTTTTCAAAACATTGATTTATTTTAAAAAAGAGAATAGTTGTATGAAAACATTTTGTAACCATGAACATAAGCTATTACCGTCATTGCTGTCATCATCATTGTCATCATCATAATCTCCTTTTCAAAAAGAAGAAAAGTAATTTCAATATAATTCTCCGTAATGACTACTCATTGGGTTTGATGATTCATTTAATTCTAAGTCCATATCTTTAGATAATAACCCACATCTCTCCAACTTGTCCACAAAAATAATTTGAGAGACTTTGTCAATGCTTTGCTAAAATCTAGTTAAATTCTATTTACAAATCCTTTCTAATATATAACTAAGAACATTGTCAAATTGTAAAAAAAATAATAATAATAAGTGAAGTCAGTCTAGCAAGAATTGCTCTGAGCTTTTCATTTTTTGTTGGGGGATGGAGAGGATGACCTGTTCTCAATAAGGCATATTATCTCTATGTGATCACAGCCTCCTCTTATAGGTATTCAATAACCTTCCCTTTAATAATGTGTACTAATATTTTCAGAAATCAATGTCAAATTTACTGGCCTATAGTTATAGTCCCTTCCCTATCTTCCCCCACCTTTTTTTTTAGTGTTTTGATTCAATATATGTTGATTTAAGTTGGAAGATCTTATCAAGTTCTTTGTATTTCAATGAACAGTAATCATTCCTCTGTTAAACCTCATTGGCTGTGATCCTGCTGCTGCACAAAGCTTATCAAGGTTTTGTAGAACTTAACTACTTCTTCACCCATTGCAACAAATGTTGGCATATAAACTACAATTATTTCATGGATTGTTCTCTTTGAAAATGTTTACAATGAGCACTGAAATATGAGATGACTCTCATTAAATGATGTTTCTTTGACTTTGTTTGCATGACAAAACCCAATTTTCTGTTTGCTTCTCTGAGAAAAGCCCATAATCTTTTGTTTGCCTCTAAATAAGTCATGTCTCCTGTAGCTGCAACTTTTTTTTGTCTTCTGTTTCATTTAAAGCAAGAATGACAAGATTCAAGTGAATCATTCCTCAAGAAGTATGTGCTTCATTATTGAACAAGGATTTCACATTTAGTGCATTAACAACTAAGTTAATGTTTGTAAAGAATCTAAAAATTGTGTGATTCCCAGAACTCTCTGTCCCCTTTTCTGCCACTTCTGAAGCCTAAATGAAGCACATGGAATGTAAGGCTGTTCTGTATTATTTTTTCTTAGTTTCTGTCAACAAATTCATCACCAAGTAGCCAACCTTTTGAGGTTGTGACTCTCAATCTTAGCTAGGTTAGCAGTTGGGAAATAGACACTGTTTGTTGACAGGACAAATGCAAAGCCTTTCCATCATTGTAGAAACTGAACTTGCCAAAGCCTGATCCATATTGACATAATCTTCAATCAATTTATCAACAAGAATCTATTAAGTGCCTAATATGTGCCAGACACTGTGCTGTGTTAGAGATATAAGTACAACTAATTAAACAATTTCTACTTGCAAGCCATAGTGGTAGAGTTTAGACTTGGAGTTAGAAAGACCTGGTTCAAGTCCTGCCTCTGATACCTAGTAGGTCTCCAACCCTGAATAAATTCTGACCTCTCTGAGCTTCAGGAGCTTTATCTCTAAAATGAGGGGGTTGGATTGCCTCCAAGGTCCATTACAGCTCTAAATCCATGATTTTGTAATCTTGTGATTTCTCCAGAAGTCCTATTTTTGCCATGGTCCTAAAGTGCTACACACTCATGTTGGCATCCAGTGGTTTGAATTCCTCTTTGAAACAGAAATGAAATCAAAGTTATGAAGTTAAGTTGGGGGTGGCTAAGCAGGTGATATTCTAACATTCAAATGAGTCCCATTTTCACACCACTAAGACTCAAATGGTGATCCATACTTATGGTACTATTCTGAGGATCTAGATTCCCCTTTGAAGGGAAACACTTGGAGTTGCTCAATAGGTAACTGCCTTCCAAACAGAGCCATATCATCCAAATAATTCACAGTTATAAGAGAATAAAAAGTCAGCACCCTTTCTCCTCTGAATCACAACTTTAAGTCCCTTGCCACACTTCCAACTTTAGGAGTCAGATACATGATCCTCTTATCTCTCCAAGGAACCTAGCTCTGACCAGAAACTGACCTTCTCTTGATAGAAAGTCAGAATCTAGGACTCTAAAACTTGGGAATTGCAAGAGAAGAAAAACGTAAAGTGTATTTTGCCCAGGAAATCCCCTTCATCTTTCTAGAAGATTAGGATCCAAGATCAAGTATTTCCTTCTCTGATAGGTGACTAGATTCTAAACCCCTCCATTTTAGGGTTTCTAAAGAGGAATGTCCAGAGTGGGAAATCTCAATGCTTGTGCTTAAACTAAATTTCAGAAACTCTAACCACTAGACCATATAATAACCCTCATCATGGCTGCCACAAGGATGAAGGCTTCAATTCTCTTGCCACTATCAATACAGGACTGATTATCAAAGTAACCTCAATACTCCACCGTTGTCCTAGGTACTGATCTAATGGAAAGCATTCTAACCTCTCTAAGCTATCTAAATTTCAGTAGGTCACTTTGTTATGCCTCACATCAGTTTCTTTAACTATGAAATGGATATCATGTTGATATCCTAACAAGTTGATAAAAATTAAATTGAGTGTGGAAGGGACCTTCAGAAATCATCAAATTAATTTATCCATGTTTAAGCAAGAACACACTTAAATCATCAGTACAAACTGAAATTTCCTGCATATTAAAGAAAAGTAAAGAAATAACCACATCATGTAGCCCATTCTGATGATTAAAAATCCTTTCTATCACCAAACTGGTATTTAAGCTTTCTTCCTCTTGTTCTTATTACAGAGAACAGCTGTTTCTCTTCCCACATGTAAAAGCCCTTTATATACCTGAAGGAGTGTTAGTAAAACATGGAAAACTCCCAGCTTTCCCTTGTCCATGAGGAATGATTCCAATACCTACAACCCTACCTTATGTCTTTTTCCCCAGTACATTACTCATCTTGGTGGCTGCTCTCCAATATGAGATCCTTAAACCCTTCTTAAAGAATAACTTTAAGGTTTGCAAAACCTTGCATTTTCTCCTCAACAACTTTGGAAGGTATGTGCTATTATTATCCTCATTTTACAGATCAGGAAACTGAGACTGACAGATGTTAGGTAACTTGCCCAGAGTCAAACAACCTAATATTTGTCTGATGCTAGATTGAACTTATCTTACTTACTCCAGGTTCAGCACTCTACTTCACCACCTTGTTGTACTTTCTTTAGTACTGAAATTTTGAGAAGTATATACCGCTCTAATCCAAATCCAGTTTGTGCAGTGTATACTTCATATTTGCTGAATGCTGAATACATTTTTATGCATCCTTGCCTGATGCTTGATTTTTATCTACCATATTAAACTGACATTACTTCCTCACTGTTTTTTTAAGCCATGTTGATCTCTGTTCCTCCCTGGCTTTGTCCATGAGGTGTATTCTGACATTTGTTTTATATTATTGTCTAATTGTGTCATGTCTATAAGACTTATTTGCCTTATGCCTGTTGCCCTGAAAATATTTTTTCTATTATTTATGGTTTGGGGAAGTTTAATCCTATTTCTTGCTGTAGCTTATCTTGCCTTATGCCTATAAGTCATAGAAGATTTAGCCTTTTATTCTCCTTGATAATCATTCTGTTATATTGTGGTAGTGAAGAAGCTTTTTCATTTTGTATTTAAGTACTTCTTAAACTCCTTGAGAGACATCAATGGTACAGTGGAAATGTCAAAGGACCTATATTCAAATTCTGACTATACCACTTATGACATGTATGACATTGGGCAGGTCACTTTACTTCTCTAGGCCTCAGTTTCTATTTGTAAAATGAAGGGTTTGGACTTGGTGACCTCTGAGGTCCCTTCCAACTTCTAAGATATAATCCTATGTATCTGTTTCTTTTTGTTTACTTGCCTTGCCTCTGCTTTGCATAAGAATAATCTTTACTTCGAAGATTTGAATGTTTATTACTGATACTCCCTCCACCAACAGATTTTGTCTGCCTCTCTGTCTATGACTTATAGTAAATAGTCTTTCTAAAAATAGATTTTTATTTTTATTGATATCTTTATCTTTACATCACCTACCATTTCTTATATATCTCTTTTTCTTCAACACCCAAAGAAGGAAAGGAAGAGGAGAAAAGAGGAGTGAGGAGGTAGAGGAGGAAGAAAATGATGAGAAGATGAGGATGAGAAGGAGGTGAAGCAGACAGACAGGCAGACAGAAAGGCAGATAGGAAGACAGGTAAACAGAGACAGAGAGAGGCAGAGACCAAGAGAGACACAAAAAGAGAAAGAGTTTCTGTGGCCAAAACAGTCATTATCAACCTGGTCATGAGCCCCTCCAAACTTAGGGTCTTAAACACACAAATATATAATCATCTACAACTAGACCTATACCTGAAAATTTTCCAACTTTATAGAACCTGCCTTTAGAAACCCAGAGTCACTTTGATGCTACCATGAGGCACCACAGTAGGGCAATTGTAAATGGGTTTCCACATATTAATATCATTCCCATTAAAGAACAACTAAGAAATCTTATAATCTACTTTGATACTTAAAATTCTATCCCAGAGGCTTTTTAAACACTCAAATCTAATTCTTTTTATAATGAGATAAGGGATTTTGAGCCTGAAAGAAGCTTAAATATTATCAATTTTTCTTAAGATGAGAGGCAGTATGGTATGGTAGCTACCTCTGCACTTGTAATTGTGAGACCTGCAATTCTACCTCAGGTATTTACTAGCTGTGTGATTATGGGCAAGTCACTCAACCTGTCTGATTCTCATTTTCATATTTGTAAGGTATAGAGAGGTAGCATAAGACAAAGAGCTAGCCCTGTAGCCAGAAAGACCTGAATTCAAATTCTGCCTCTGACATAATAGTTATGCGTCCCTCATCTCGTAACTTAACCTTACAGTATTATAGGCAACTGTCTGATGTTATAAGTTGCAAATAAGGTGCAAACTTGTATTGGTAAAGGGAGTTTTTTTCATCTGGTAATTGTTTACACTAATGAAATCACAACCCAACCCCTAACTCTAATAATTCTACCTACCTTGCAGAATGGTTGTGAGGAAAGAGCTTTGTAACCTTGAAAGACTCTATAAAACTGAGTTATTGTTATCATTATCATTATTATGGTTACTGTTGTTGTTACTACAAATTGACTGCTACTGAGTGATGGTCATTTTCCCAAGGTTTCTTTCCACCTATAAAATTTCGTGGTTTTTTTTTTCTTATTTGCAAATATCAAAGCAAAAAGAATTCCACTTTTACCTTCTTCCTTTGCTTTTACACCAAAAAATACTCCAGAACTTCTTTAATTATGTTTGATTTTCTATATCCCATAGAGTTAAAGGTAAATGAGCTCTAAACATAAAATCTTGGCAGTATTGGTCAGCTTTTTAAAGATTATTCCATCTCATTATATTTGGTTAAGAGGCCTGTAATCTACTCTTTCAAAAGAGTGTAGTTTAGTAGATAGAGAAATGGCTTTGGAGTCAGGATACATGAATTCAAGTGCTACCTCTGTGAAATACTGGCTATGTCATCTTAGACAAGCCAATTAACCTCTCAGTATCCCCAGGTAATGCTCTAACATTATCAGTTATAGAAATGGTAAAGACATGAATTGATAGACGTTCTTTATGGAGAACTATACTGATAAAATCATTGGTCAAAAAAAGAATACATTCCCACTAAAAGTCTCCTTTTGCTCTTTTCCACTTTCAATTTAGCTCAGTGAGTTTTTTCACTTGCTTTTCATTACCTTCTTCTTTTCTATAGAATTTTTCCCTTAGGTGAAAGATTGAGTAATGATTATTACTGGAAGGCAGTTGTTTTGGACTTTGATTCTCAGCTACAGCCCTAGCTTATCACATGACCTTGGAAAAGTGACTTAACCTTTTTGGTCCTACACAGCTGATATACGGAAACTCACTGATCAAGCTGTTAGATACCTCAATGACATACAGTGGTGCCAAGATCTATGCTTTCTAAGTCAGGCTTTCTGTTCCTAAATGAAATCTCTAAATAATCTCATCTATTCCTACAAAGACATTGAATAAGAATCTTGCCAAAGTTTCAGCAATATCTTGCTTCTGATAAAATTTTCTCCAACCTAACTTTCTCAGTCTTCATGCTATTTTATTCAAATAAATATCAATTTAATAAATCTGAGTATTGTTTTTGTCTAACATCCAAAATATGTCAAACAAGGAAGATAATTTTAAAAGAGCAACTGGTTCTGAACCAGTGATGTTTCTCTGCCTTCTTTAGTAGTTTAGCATTTTATTCTGTTGTTCAGATAATGAAGAGATGTTTATGATTCCCAGAACTGGTTGTATTTCAGTGGTTTAAATGTATAGCATTCAGAACCTAATAGAAAACTGTATGAAACAATTATTCTTTCTTAGAGTAGTGGTATTATCTTCTAGTTTAGCTAATAAGGTTTGAAAACAGAAAATTACATGTATTTTAGCTATAATACAAATGAAAATTAGAATCACTGCTTCATCAGTTGTATAACTGAACTTTGGATATGTGGAAGACATAATATTCCATGTAACAAAGCTCTCAAAATCTTTCCAGCTTTTTTGTGACATGTAGATTTTAATAAGGTTATAATTATTTTCCTTTGGTTAGTACACATCTGCTCTGACATATGATGGGGTGCTTGTGATGGCAGAAACTTTTCGCAATCTTAGACGACAGAAAATTGACATTTCAAGGAGAGGGAATGCAGGAGATTGTCTGGCCAATCCTGCTGCACCATGGGGCCAGGGAATTGATATGGAGAGGACCCTCAAACAGGTAAACTGCTATTTTGTAAACCATATTTTACTCCTATTTCTTGCTCCACATGATCCCAGGAAGACACTGAGGTATATACCAGAGGTATATATCATCAATTCCCATTTAATACAATTCAGTAAGAGTTCATCTTTGATAAATTCTTCAAATAAAAGTGAATGCCAAAACAGTGAAATGGGCCTCACATATATTAAAATATAATTCTTAACTAGGTCTGAAGTATACTGTAACCTTGGGTCAAATTTCTTACATTTTAAAATCAGATTTAAGATACCTTGCTTCTTTTCACAGAAATATTTTGCGAATGAAATATATTTGTAATTCTCTGAAATTTTAAGAACAAAAGGTGCTTATTAAGAAAATAGAGTGAAAGGAAAATTGGAGTAAAATAATCTTGGATGTGTTTTTTTTAATTAGAAGCTAATTTTCAAAGAAACAGATTTAAATGATTCTTTGGTTATTAGACTTTTAAAGTTTTAAAATGAATGATAAGGGTCATAACAATACACAAAAGGCATGTTAGAGTCAGTTAATCCAAGTTGTTGACAGATAGATGGCTGACATTATGCAGTAAATTACAAGCAAGAATGTGTTTTTCTGACTGACTATATACATATATATATGGAAGAATCACAAAAGCAAAAGGAATAAAAGTTGAAAGAGCAAATGAAATTTTGTTAAGACTTTTAAATGTGTTAAACTTCACAAATATATAACAAAATTGCAAGTTCATGAGGTTTGGCATTACTGTTTCAAATTATACCCACCAGTCTGTTCAATTATACTTGGTAATTTCAATGTTACAGACTGAGCAGCAATGACTACCTGACAAATGAGCGTTATCTATGGTTTTGTTTTGTCTTGTTTACCTTTGATTCATAGGTTCGAATTCAAGGATTGACAGGAAATGTTCAATTTGACCATTATGGACGAAGAGTCAACTACACAATGGACGTATTTGAACTGAAGAGTACAGGACCCAGAAAGGTGTGCTTTGAACAATGGAGTGTCTGTGTTGGGGTTTTTTGGTCACAAATTATATATTTCCACTTCTAAAAAAATATTCCATAAAAAATATTCTATTCAAATTCTCTTTTCCTTGTGAGGCTTACATGCAGTAATGCTTTTATAAAATCTTCTGAAATTAATTTCATTGTTTTAGCATAGTAGTGGTCTTCAACCTTTTAGTCATAAAGAAGTCTGAGAATTGTGACTTTTAGCCCTGGGAGGCAGAACTAGATGGAAGTAAAAGCAGAGCAAGAAGATTCCAACTAAAAATAAGTAAAAACTTTCTAAAATTAGAGGTATCCAAACTAGAACATAATATTTCAACAAGTAGAAAAGGTAGAAAACAACTTCGGTGATGTTGTAGGTAACACTGATGATCTGGATTAAGATTAGAGTTTATGATATATAAGGCCCATTTCTACTCTTGTCTATGGTTTATTTTTAAATTCTATGACAGATGTTCCAGCGTAAGTGGAATTAAACCATATTGTATATACTGCCCATAGAAACTTAATTATGCCTTTTTTAATCAAAAAAAAAAAGAAAAGATAATGATGTGGTTGAAAAACTTGTAGAAAAGAATGACATAAAACAAATCTAATTCTGAAGATGGACACATAATGTATATGAAGCGAGCACCTATATACTCATACGTATATGAATATGAAGTTGCTATAAAAATATAAAGCACTAATGATCTCCCTTTTAAACATGCTAGGATGGTTCCAGATTGTTGGGTATTGACGTGGACAAATATCAGTGAAATAATTAGAAGCTATATGTGTATTACTTTTTCCAGGGTCTTCTATGTAAGGGCTTTTAAATATTTTACGTGGCACACCTTTACTAAATGCATACCTTATAAATAACTATGTGTAATTAAAAAAACAAAAAACTTAATATTTTGATTAACAAGAAAAACTGTTCTGATTCTGGGGTTGGGAAGAAAATGGGTTGTAAATAATTGCCACTTAGTGTATATGTTGCATTAGTCGTGTTTTTCCTAAAAATGGTGCACATTCCCTAGATTGGAAATATAGAAGTGGTTTTGAGAAGCTGTTTCTTTCTGAGCCATCATGTCGTGTACTTGCCATTCTAGTCTGATGAGTGTTATGAACATAAAGGGTATTAAAGGGATACAGAAATAGCCATGGTGAAAGGGGAAGGAAGCAGTGGAAGTCAAGATTCTAAAGATTCCAGTGGTGTGACAAGAATAGCACCAGGCATTTCCAATAGTAAGTGGTTCAGGAAGCTTTTGACTCCAGAGAATTGCACAGGGTCACCAGTGATTTCAACAGTCCTCTATGGTGAGTACCACATATTAAAACCTTTTCTTACATGGCTGATTTTATTAGGCATTATTATAACAAACCATTTTTGTAAGTTCAAAGTTTTGCATAAGAACAATCAAATTATTAACATCATCACCTCCAAATGAATTAAGAAACTTACTGTTTTAAAAGACACATTTAGTTCTATGTGAATTCAATTTAAATGCTGCTAGCATCTACTAAGCAACTACCATGTGCCTAACACTGAGCAAGGCTCAGAGATGCAAAGAATAAAAAATTAAAAATAGTTCATGTCCTCAAGGAACATAGTCCTTGAAAGATCTTATAATTTGAGAAAGATACAGTGGCATACATAAATATTTACTTTTTTTTATTGGATCTGTGATTTCATTAAAGTAAAGAACTCCTGGTAAGAAATTTCCTCTAACAACGCAAATTAGCAATCTTAATTGCACCTTACATACTTGACAAGTTTCCTGAGATGCCGAAAGTTTCAGTGACTTTCCCTGGGTCACAAAAATAATATTCAGCAGAAGTGGGGTTTGAACCCAAGTCTTTCTAACTCAGAGACTATCTCTATTCAAATTTCTCAACCACTTGCTTACCAAGATTAAAATACTCTTGTGTGTCAGCTTTGAACATTATAAGTGAGGCATTTTGAAACTTTTAGAACCACAGGTAGCATTGTGCTCTAAGAAACAGGTATCAAAACATGCTGCCTCCAACCACAACACTCCCCAGGGTTAAAATTAGAATATAATTGGTATTAAAATGTAGTTGAAAAATATGTAACAAGATAAACAAAAATACAAGAAACACAGTTAATGTTAACATGAGGTTTTCTAACTCAGTATGTGGCACACAGAGATCCTTATGTGCCATTTAGTGGTCACCTTCTATTTGTTTGACACCAATGCAATCATACTAGAAAAGTTTGAATGGAAGAAGAGGTTCTTCGGTGTTCTAAAGGTTATTACATAGGCCCATGACTGATGATAGATCATGTAAGAGCACCCAAAGAGTTTTCTATGGCACTGTAAATTAATGTATTTTAGTTTAATATGTCAACATTTCACATGAAAGTCCAAAGAAAAGGGAGCATTCTACTGAGTTGAACTTTGCAATTCATAGATAACCCCCTGATTTTTTTTTCTTTCATTCCTGTTGAAAACCAACCAATTAACAAGAATTAATTAAGCATCTAAGGTAATCTAGACATTGTACTAAGCATTGTACAAAACATCAAAAGTATTTGAAAGATGTATTTGTTTTCCTTCCATAATCATTATAGCGCAGTCAACATAGGATTATAGGACCATGTATTTGGAGCTGATCAGAATTTAGAGATTGTCTCCTCCAACCTTCTTACTTCACAGATGAGGAAACAGCCCCTGAGAAGTTAAATGAAAATATCATCTTAACTTTTATGGATTAGCGCATATTCTCAGCATCATCATTATGTATATCAAATGTGATTATATATAGGCTTGTAAAATTGAAATGGGAAAAGACTGCCTTCACTTTGAATCAGCTCAGATTCTTCCATGAAGGTTCTTTAAAAAAATTCCTGATACGAGTTTACGTTCTTGTCATTTTTTTCTCTCTGAGTGTGCTCAAATTTTAGTCACGTGGAAGTTCCATTTCATAGAGAGTTTAGTGTACTTATAACTCTATTGTTAAACTTGGGGACCACTTTTGGTCTGTGCTTCTTTTCTTCCAAGATTTTTTTTCCCAGCATAACAGAATGAGATTATAATCATAAGTTTTTCTGAGTGGTATCCAACATCTTCTGCTTTCTTCTGACTACATTCTTAAAAGTACATGTATAAGAACACAAGCAAGATGTTAAGGGTGGCGTTGTAAAATCAGCAGAGAGCCATTCACTGGCAATTAGACTAAAGAAGACTGAGTTTGTTTTTCTGCCTTTCCTTGAGACACCTTATATGTAGCCAAGGATACCACTGTAGAAACAGAACTAAAAGTTATCCCTGGAGGCTGCTAACTCAGCAATACCCAGATATTATTCACTGACAAGCAAAATAGAAAGCCATAGAAAGACTAGAGTGTGATTGGGAAAAGTAGCTGACTAAGTGTAATATCAACATGGTGTCTCTTGCAGACTGAGCTAAAGGTGTAAGGGATTTTTTTTTATTCAATTTTTTTGTATGTGCTTAATACTTGGAGGTGCCACAAGCAGCATATCCAATTTATTAAATGCTTCAAAAAAGATTCTTGACTAAGTGTCAGGAAACCAGAGTTCTAGTCTCTACCTGGCTATCAACCAGTGAAAGCGACACTGAATGTGGTATCAAAAAATTGGAGGTTGAAACATGGCTCTTGTACTTAGGATTTGGATAATGTTATTTAATAACTCTAGGCCTAAGTTTTTTCATCTGTAGAATAATGAGGTTGGACTAGATGAGCTCTAAGGTTTACTAGAGCTTCAAAAATTCAAAGGTTATTTTTATAACATACTAAACCTTCAGTAGCAAAGGAGTAAAGTCATGGAATATGCTTAATCAGGCTACTTATTGCATCGGAGTTTGGTTGGCTGAAGTCCGAGACATCATGGTATGGATGACTTCATATCAGCTATAGCTAGAGCTGAGTGACGCAGGCTTTGCTTAGGCTGCCAAAATTTAGAGTGCATTCATAACACTCACACTCCTTTTGCTATTTAGAAACCACTGAGCTTAGCATTGGGTAAAAAAAAAAATTAGGGAGAATCCTCCTAAATCCTCTACTGAGGAAGAATCCGCAGTAAGGGCTCTGCTAGATCCTGATTTCCCCATCTCCACATGAATTGCCATCGGTACCATAATTACTTATTATCCTTCTACAGCTCAGTTTTTAGACATATTTTCTTATCTTACATCAATATATTTCCTAAGTTACCTCATTTTTAAAATTCAATGTTCCTGATAGAATACTCAAGTTGTCATATCGTGGCAAATTAATGTTACAGCAGACAAATCCAAACATACAAAACAGACATGCATACACATACCACAGTCAGAAAGAAAGCAGGAAGGATAGAAAAGGGGAAATGTGACAAATAATATGTAAGAAAAAGTTAAGATTCTTCAAGTAGCCTCATATAGTGATTTTCACAGCAAAATCAGAAGACAGATTAACTTGTAGTCAGAAATACAATGTCTAGGGTTTTTTTGTTTTTGTTTTTTTAAGATATCATTTAGTTTGTGAGGCAAAGAGAGTGAAAGCAGTAGGCCCTGGAAAGAAAAAAGAAAAAAAGCCAAGCAACTTGAAACAACATGTACCTTGGGCAGGAAGGAACAGCAGGTCACACTGACTTTTCAGTCCCATATAGTCATACTGCCAAAAATAGAATTTTGAGCTGAAAAGAATTATAAATTTTATATAGCAAGTACAAAGCTAAATTGTACTAGATAGAAAAGAGCATGAGTGATGAAAGAGCAAGATGGTAATAAGTAACAACAAAGTCAAATAAGGTTTCCTGAAAAGAATTATTTCCTGGAATATTGAAGTGTGATTTTAACAGAAGCTGAAGCCTGAGAGGAAGAGATTACAGAGCAAGTTGGGAAAGTGATGCACAGTAGATCTTCACAATCAGATGGCATTAATCTACATATCTTGAAAGAAATACGAAGTATGAAATAGGGTAGACCTATCTGCCTCTGCATTTCTATAGCAACTACCAACTTGGGC